AACTAAAGGTGACATAGATGGTTTATTATGGTATAGTATTTAAATATATGCCTGAGAAACACATAATTTTGGTCCTTTAAACTATGTTGCATTCAAGAGAACATTTTCTTTTCTTTGCCACAAGCTCCAAAAGTTATTGCTGTGTGATTAGGTTTAATAATGTGTAATAGTTTGTGGGCTGAATGAGAACAGAGCGTTGACTGATAAATGGACCAATGAGCTCATGTGCCAGATATGGCCCACACACCACTAATTGACGACCACTGAGCCTCACAGAARCTGACGTGCACGGCCTGCACCTCATCTGTGAAACTTCTCTCTCTCACTCCCCGAGAGTCACATTGAGTCTTAAATTTTCTACAGTAATTAAATTTTCAACACAACTGGTGACCTCTCTCTCTCACACACACACACAAACACACACGTTACCCAGAGACTGGGTACCTTGGACTCTGAGGCTCTTGGTTGAGGAACGTGACCGTCAGTGTGCTTCTCTGACATATTTCTAATTAAATTTTTTTTTCTCGGGCTTCCTGCATGAGCTGTCAGACCCTCCGGTGTGTTTGTTTTCAGAGTCTTCGCCAAGTGTCCTCTGTGTTATCTCAAAGCTCCGTCTGGACAGGCTAGAAAATAAACATTTTTACTTTGGGAAAGCAATTAAGCTCATAATCTCCAGGCTGTGAAAGAATCTGAAGCCAGCAGCATACGTGAGGCGTCCCAGCTTCCCACCGGAGTTTACATTGTCCCCTTATGTTTACATCTCAGGACTAATCGGGGTCGACCCGGTCACTTCCAGGAGCTCCTAATTAATGGTGATGTTTCAGACGTGTTGGACTGATTTCCATCAGTCGTGCTGAAGACACACAAGCTGAGGTGAGATTTCCTCGCCACCTAATCAGTTTAAAGAGTTTATCAAACTGTTGAATCTTTTATATTTGCTGAAATTTGACTTCAGAGATGCTTGTTTACATGTTACATTAAAACAAGAAACAAAAACTAAAAGCAAGACCTGAAATTAGCTAAATTAGACTGAGTTAGATAAAAGCAAGAAAAGCAGTAGTGAAAAGCTAAAACTATCAAAACCTATGAAAACTAAAACATTGTCAAAAAGCTGGAACAGTTGCAGAAAGAGGAATAGCATGCGCTAAAATTGAACAAAATCAAAGCTTGAAAGTGAAATCGTCAAAGCAATCTCTAAACCTAAATTAGCTAAAATGCAGCTAAAAGCTAAAATAAGCTAAATCATAACTGAAAGTGAAAGTTAGCAAGACAGTAGCTTAAAGCTAAAAGAAGCATAAAAAACAACAGATTAGGTACACTGAAATAGATTTTAAAGAGTAAAGTTCCTGAATTAATTGAAAATTTGCACYCCTTTGGGACATTTTCTTTAAATAAAACAAAATGATTCAAAAAGTATGAAAGTTACAATTGCTAAAAGTTTTAGCCATGCTTACGGAAGCCGAGAGCAGATGTTTTCCACAAATAATTTTCTTCTTTTAGGTTTTCTTGTGATAACGACAATATGTTATCACAAAAAATATATACATTTTGTTGTTATCACAAAATAACGATAAGCGTTTTCTCGAGATAAGTTAATTTCTCAGTTGTTTTCTCGAGATAGCGACTTATGGTTTCCTCTTGTGTATCGTTCAGTAACCATGTGGCCCTCTTCTGATGTCCTTCAGCTGGTCACCAATAAAGTTTCGGTCGTTGCTATTTCGTGATAACGACATAATACAATGTTATCACTAGAAAACCACGGGGAAAAAATATCAGAGGAAAATGTCCGCTCTCGGCTGATTGAGGTTAAAATAGTTCAATGTATAAAACAAAATAGTTTAATTGTAAAAGTCAGACTGAAGAAACTTAAAACATTATGAAGCATAAATGCCAACTCAGCATTTATGCAACATGATTTTGATGATCAGCAAAAATCAAAAGCTAACTGAAAAGGAGCAGATCTATGCAAACGTGCTGTTTTGAAGCTTGTGATGTGACTGAACTGAAAACTGATTACTTGAATCTTGTTCTCTGTGTGTTTTTTAAAGCAGAATGTTTGTTTGGATGCAGACTTTTCTGTTTAGCATCTTCCAGTTGTTTATGATGCTTCTGACTCCACTTGTTGACCTTTTTCCACTGCTGCTCTATTCTGGAAATTAATGTTCTTATTAAACGCTTTAATCACATTTTTTAATTATCCTTTTGTATTATTTTGTCCCTGAATAATAAACAATTATGAGAGTGGAAATGCTGTAAAAAYGAATCCTTACAAACTGAACAAGCAAACTACAGTTTTGCTGCAGCTGTCCAACGTCACAGAAAGGAAAAGTTTGACGACTAAAATGTCTCTGCTTCCAGTTTTCCAGTGAACCACAGAGGACACATTTAATCTGATCAGCATCAGGTCATTTTTAGAGCCTTGAAAATGACTTTCTTTGAATCAGTCTTCAGAGAAATGACTGATAAACGCTGCATGAACTCCAGGACCTGGTCCCAGAGGACGACTGGGACAATTAATCTGCATCTCAGATGTTCAAACTGCAGCCAGCTTGTTTCAACATTTAAGCATTTATCGTGACAACTAGTGTAAACAATCGTGGAGGGATGAAAACGAGCTTTTCCAGGTTTGCAGCATTTTGGAGCAAAGGTGGGAGAAGGGAAACAGAAGGAGGTAGAKGAGGAGAAGGAAGAACATCCAGGAAGTGATGTATTTTTGGCTGAGGAAATCATCACAAAGTAAAGAGAAAAAAAGCACTCAGTGTGGCAGAAAGAGGGTAAAAATTCTCCACTTATTAAATCATCTTTGTGTGATAAACTGAACTATAAATCATTTGACATATTTTGCGTAAAGAAAACAAATTCAGCATTTGTCACCTGTTTTTTTAAAGACTAGGTGGATTCTATAACATTTTTGATAAGTGAGAATTAGCTTTGTGGTAAATCCAAAATAAAATAAAAATATCTTTCACATCTGAGTGATGCAGCCAGCTACCATCCTCTCTGACCCTGAAACCATTGAGGACGTCTCCCTCTGCTGGCTGCAGGAACGCCACATACAGAGAAACACATGATCTGAAAAGATGGGTAAGTTTTAACAAATATACCAAACTTTAATTGATCTGTTTTAGGTTGTAAATCAAGTGTGGTAGTAGCTGAGACTAATTCACAACAAGCACTCCAAGCACAACATCTTTACTTACTTAAACAATAACTGTGGTCATCAATCTTGTTTGTTTGTTAGCAARAYATCTCATAAACAAAGCAAYTGGAAAAAA